ATAGGTGGTTGTAATCATGCAAGTAGATCCAAAAACAACACAATGTGGTCCAGAGGAAGTGACAATGATGGTAGTAACCGACTCATAGGGACATGTTTTGCCCACGGTTTACTCCATATGATTATTGCCTCCCCCACACTAGCAATTTGTGTCGTTCAAAAGGTATCCATATTGACTCTTTAGTTTGATTCCTCAGCACATGGAATATATATATATATATATATATATATATATATATATATATACACACACACAGGGTGATTGAAAAGTAACTCCCTATTTTAAACAATTTTTTATATGAAGTTACTTTTTTCTCAATTCTTTAATGTATGTCCCTTAATCTATGACAATTAAATCTGCGATACCATGAATGCCGAAAGGTATCTCACTATGCTGCAAGATGAAATCTGGCCAGTTGTCAATACTTGGGAGAATATTGAAGACTTGATTTTTATGCAAGATGGTGCTCCTCCACATTTTGCTGTTATTGTTCGTGAATGGCTGAATGAACATTTTCCTGGGAGATGGTTGGGTCGACCTGGTCCGCATGAGTGGCCGGCCAGAAGCCCTAATTTAACACCCTGTGACTTTTTTCTTTGCGGTTGGTTGAAGGAACAAGTTTACTCTACAAAACCAAAGACTTTAGAAGAACTTGAAGGGCGACTACGAAAAGTTATTTCTGCCATCCCACAAGAGTTCCTGAGAAGATCAGTTGATGCGATTCCCGAGCGGCTTCAGAAGCTGCAAGCGAATGCTGGTGCACATATCGAATTTTAAATAAAACTCCATGTTATGTGTGTTCTTCTCATATTTTTTTTTGGAAAAATAATGATTAAAAAATAAATTATAAGATTTTCAAAATAAGGAGTTGCTTTTCAATCAATCAATATATATATATATATATATATATATATTGTTTAGCCCAACTGTCAAACAAGGGCATACAAATAGCTAACGTGGCTTTCTAATACTTTTAACCATATCCAACCAAAGCGAACATAATGTCCCATAATGCCATGAGAGTGATACTTATCAGTCTTGTAAGAAATCCATAATAGGTCCCATCATGACTTACACAGCCTGACTGGTTTCGCCGGGCCTACCCGGCTGCATCAAAGGCTTTGGTTGGATATGGTTAATATAAATACCTTTTGAACAACAGGAATTGCTAGTATGAGGGAGGCCAATAATCATATGGAGTAAACCTTGGGCAACACATGCCCCTATGAGTCTGTTACTACCATCATTGTCACCTCCTCTGGACCACATTGTGTTGTTTTTGGATCTACTTGCTTGATTACAGACACCTTATTCAATTTTGTCTATATATGCAATCTAGGATGCAAATACAATTGAACAGCCCCTAAACAGGACAGATTTAATCAGGCCTGTTATTCAACTGGAGTGTACCTGTTGAGGAAAATCTGTGCACAAACAACTATCCAGCATGCTGGAAAATATATATTCTTCATGGCCACCTTTCTAACTTTTATCTATTTCTATATATCACTGTCCCTGTTTTCCTGAGAGCTCTCAGTAGGAAGTTGCAATAAACTTTTTTTTTATTTAAAATAATGTATATGAAGCCTATAGGTCCCTGAACATGATTGTTTAAGGGTTTTAGTGGAGTTTGTTTTGTACTGAGTGTGTTTTTTTTTGTCATTTTAATTAATAAATTAAGTGATTTGTATGTTAATGATATCTGTCAATGTTTTTCTTACTGCTATACAATGCTTGAAAAAGTGATTTGGGTAGAGGTTTGAATGGTAAATCCATTTTTTCCTTTGTTGTTTTTTGAAACACATTCAAGTGTCAATGCACTATAAGATCAGCCCATCTTCACTGTGGGCCAGTTTGAATAAAACAGGGGACATTGGAACCAATGATACAATATATCTATACATCAAAATCAAGATCACTAAATCACCAGATGATGTCCTGTACACAGACCATTTTGGAGAAAACAATGACTAAAATGGACAAATCTCAATAATGTTCCATTTATGATTAGCTTGATATCCAGTTGACAATGGTGAAAAAAGTATTGGCAATAAAAGGAGCAGAAGGGTCCAGAGACTTCATGAACCTTTGCCCCACTTGATATAATCATAAACAAGAAAAAAATAATAATTACAATAACAAAATAATGTTCTCCAAGGTGCTTTCTCCTAATAGTATTTTTTTAAATATTCTATCAAAAATACATTTGTCTGATATCCCTCTGTTCAGATCTACGAGCTTGGGTTACAATTCTAAGGATGTCCAGTATATTAGGCATAAACATTGGTGGAATTATGAAATATGAAATAGTTGTTAATGCCTTCCATACATTATAATTAGAGCAACATATAATTGAAATATATTTATTCAAAATAAAAGCTAATAAAGGCTGCTTAGATTTTACACCTGGGTCTAAAAGAGCATATTGAGCCAAATGGCTTAGTACATATGAAATGAGCACAGATTGTATTTGTTGATGCTAACACTACAATCCTCATTCCCTTGAATATTTCCCCCAGGGCTCTTGCATGATTGATAAAAAAAAGGGAACATCTAAAGTTTCCCATTATACCAAAGATGGTGGCCTAACCTAACCTTGGGATTTTTCCTTATTAAGGCTAAAGTGGACTTTTTTTCACCAGCTGCAAATAAATATTAAATCATCCATCAGCTAAGGGCGTACAGAGATCATACATCAAGCTGTACCTATCATAATCTGGCCATAGATACCAGAAGACAGGATATAAAAGCGTGATTTGTCTTGAGATGGCTTTCAGACCAGATTGCTGCGTAAACATGAAAGCTTGGATTGGCCAATTGTTCATGGTAAGCTTATGAAGAACAGAGGAAATACACACAAACACCCCCAGTTACCTAGAGGGAATCAGACGCCGCTTTCAGATCTGTGTAAGTCTTGCTTGTATTAATACTGTTGGCTGATATTCAGCCAGTGTGTACAGCAGCATGTCCGACAAACTTTTGTTGAACAAGCATGCTGGAAAACCAGCATCTGATCAGCGCTGGAAGCCAATGGCTGCGAGCATTGATCAGTGTGTTCTGACGGGGGATAATCCCTTTGTCAGAACACAATAGGTCAGTGGGGGAGATTGCGACACTAACATTGTTTAGTTAGTAAGCAACCTTTCAGTTGTTTTCATTCAGCCCCCAGGCATCAATGAAAATAAAACTTCCCATGTGTATTTAGCATAACTGATTGGTTTGTTGCCTTGATTCTCCCTCCCCCCAATCTGAGATCTGCTATAAAGGGATTGCAAACAGCTGATACCAAGTCAAAGTCCAGTACTTAGACTGCTTGCTTTTACCAAAACACATCCAAGTATGTATTGAGAAATATAGAGTTACTCTGGAACTCCCTGCCCCAACCCATCAGATTATCACCTACTCTCCTCTCCTTTAGGCGCACCCTGAAAACCCATCTCTTCAGGGAAGCCTACCCCACCCCCCCTGCTAACTTGCCGACCTCCTCCACTCTTCCTACCACTCCATCCCCCACAGCTATCTCCTCCTGTGCCACCATCCCCTCCCTCCTAGATTGTAAGCTCGAAAGAGCAGGGCCCTCAATCCCCTCATGTTTTGCATTGTATTGGTATTGTTCTGTCACATGTTCTGTCCCCCTTTGTAATGTACAGCGCTGAGCGAACTATTGGCGCTTTATAAACTCTGTATAATAATAATAATAATTATTATTTTGTGTATTTAATATCGATCTGTAGTTCATTTTTAATTCCTAAACAGAATGGAATTTACCTTAAAATACAATTTCTACAAAAATGCTATCTTTCAAACACCAACTGCCTTCTCTTCTTGACATAAAACAGCCTAAGCTCTACATAGAAGGTTCATCTCTACATAGAACATACAACCTCTACATGGAATAATTTAATCTCTGCATAAAATATTCCAACCTCGTGATTATTCTCACACGATATTCATGCCCTTTCGTACTGTATTGAATGTTCTCACTTGTTCAGTCACAGAAGAATGCCTCTACCACTACACTGAAAGCAACCACTTCTACAAAGAATTTTAAAATTGCACTGTCCTCATCTCACATGGAAAATTCAGAATACCTCCATCTATACACAGAATATCTCCACTTCCAAAAACCATTTCAGCCTCTACCTAACCCCATCCAAACTCTTCACAGAATACTTCTACCACTGTAGATATTGTCTGAACCTCGTTTTAAAGTATTGGCACCTCTTTTAGAAACACTCTCACCTCTATAGAAAGCTTTCATCCCTACATACAGAACCATTGGAGAGATTAAGAAAATTGAATATATCCCTTGTGTTCATTGAATCGTCTTGCAGCATTAACCAGAGACATAATCATGAGTTTTACCTCGAAGTCATAAGATGGATGTAAACAGCATGGTGTGCTGGCAAAAATATTGTTATCCTCTGTTGTTGGAACCCTACGATTTAATATAAAATACAATTACTACTATCCCTCTAAGATTTTTGGATAATTCACAGTAAACAGTGACTAGAGCTGTGGAACGTGTATCATAGGTAGATCGCTAGATTTCACCGCACAGCAGAACTCTCATTACTAGCCAATATGGCTAAAATAACTCAAAGTCCAAGTCATTTTGACCTTTCTTTCCAAGAGTCCAAAAAGGATTAAGGACCAGTAACAGTCACAGACCTGCACCTCCACTTAGTCTGCAACAGACACATCCATTTGTTAAAAAGATAGTGGTCTGGCAGACAGAGGGAGGTGCAGGGAAGGGAAAGGGGAAACAGACATATAGCATCATTGGCGGCATAACAAACTGTATACCATAAATGTTTCATCTGCACTTAGATTACAGCAAGCACTTTTTCTGATGAGACACCTCTGTACTGAAGGGTCTACCAGGTTCTAGAGTCTATGGTCCCTTCAGAACTCAGTAAGGTCTTCTCCTGATGACCATGAGCTGGTTAGGTAGCACATGCACAGTGAGAAACTAGCTTTGTACACTTGGTCAGTTGTCCTCATATTTCGGTGGACTCTATCCTCTCCAACCTAGATGGTGTCCAAGCTTTCTTGTCCTCAGCTGGTGGTGTTGTGACCTTTGTATTTACCTCACAGATCCTTTGCTCCAGTTGTTGATTTTTCTGATACATCTCAACGTAATTGAGCTGTAGCTGTTTCTGGTATTTTATCACCTTCTCCTTCTCCTCTTGCCAAGTACGTTTTTCCTCCTCAAAGTCCAAAATCAGCTGATCCCTTTGTTGTTTCTCTAGGGCTAATTCTATCTGGAGTTTTTCTATGTCTTTCTTTAGACTCGCTACAATGTCCTCACTCTGGCGTTTCATCTTGGCCTCATCACTCTCGCAAAGAGTGTCTCTCACTTTTTCATTGAGTTCTTGGGTGTACGGGTTCTGACCTACATTTGATAAAACCTCCTTTAGGTCTGCAATCTCTTGCTCGCATTGGCTAAGCTTCTCTTTCATTTGTTGAGCCTCGCTTTGTTTCCTCTGCATCTCGCTCTCACAGATCTCAAGGCTGACACTCTTTGAGCTATATGAATCCTTAATGGAGGCAATCTGGTCCTCCTTCTCTCTCAGAAAGGACTTTGCTTCTTTTAGTTGTGTTCTTAGGCCTACTATCTCATTAAGTTTCTGACCTACGTCAGACTGGGAATCTTTCAACTGTTGCTTTAGCAATGATATCTCACCAGCTTTCTGACAAACCTGCAAAGAGAAACACAAATCAGTTATGTGAAATATTTTCAGTAAATAGTTTTTTTCAGTAGACAGTGAGGCGACATAAAAAAGGTTGTGGGTAGGACAAGTTGTATAAAAAGTTCTTGAAAACTTAATTTCCAGTGCAAAGGTCACCACTTCAAATGACCTTCATAGTCTCATTATTGTAATGTCTAGATATTGGAAACCACACTTTGCATTTAGCTGCAGATTGATCTATTCTTGGTTACAGTGCTGTAATTCTTGGAACAATGCCAAGCTCTAGTGTCTCAAACAAAAATCTACACCTTGCTGTATGGTATGCAGGCTACATCCAGAAGTTTATCTGTAAGATTAATAAAAGGATTTGGAAATATTACAGGTTGCCCAGCAGCTTTGTTCCCTTTAAACTTACCATTTTGCTATAGTATAGAATTTAGATGAAGCCATATCAGTAAATGAAGTTTACACTGAATAAAGAATACAGTAGTGAAATTGAAGTCAAAAGGAGGAACCATAGGAGCTGAGAGCTGGGGAAGGGGGTGGAACTAAGGAGATTGACACTCCCAGAAGTGTCAGTTTCACTTCCGACTTCAGCAGATTTCGCAGGATCTGAGCGGCATTTGTTAGTGAAGGCAAAAAGAAAAGTCAGTGTGTACTGACTTCTTTTTTCAGGTATAGTGTCCTCTAAATTCTATACTATAGTAACAGGATTGCTTTAAAGTACAAACTAGGGCAACTCTGATGTAAAAATGTATGAATTGAGGTGATCATTAGTGAAAATGGTATGTCTAAAATAATTAGCAGAGTTGTATAAAAATTTTTGGAATTTCCTATAGAACCTATCCTCCTGCTTCGTTCAGAGCATCCCTATTGGTCAGTGGACTAACAGACACATTAAAAGACCAATAGTCAGGTTTAAAGTGGTTTTAAAGCCTGAAGGTTTTTTACATTCATGCATTCTATGCATCAAGGTACAAAACCTTCAGTTTGCAGCTCCCCCCTTAGTTGCCCCCTCATACTCACCTGAGCCCGATTCTGATCTAGCAAAAAGTTAGTGTATATTGACTTCTTTTTACAGCTATAGTTTCCTCTAAATTTTGTACTATAGTAACAGGATTGCTTTAACGTAAACTTGTGACAAACTAGGCCAACTCTGATGTAAATATGTATGAATTGAGGTGATCATTTGTTCAGAGACTCCCTATTGGTCAGTGGACCAACAGACGCATTAAAAGACCAATAGTAAGGTTTAAAGTGGTTTTAAAGCCTGAAGGTTTTTTACATTCATGCATTCTATGCATCAAGATAAAAAACCTTCAGCTTGCAGCTTCCCCCCTCATACACCCATATATACTCATCTGAGCCCGATCCTGATCCAGCAATGTGCATGACAGCAGAAGCACTCCAGGGTCTTTGCCTCCTCATTCGCTGAAACACAGTAGCGGGAGCCATTGGCTTCCACTGCTGTCAATCACAGCCAGTGAAGAGCAAGTGGTGGATGGAGCTAAGCTCAGCCCGTCCTGCCCAGTGTCATTAGTACAGTATCAGTGCTTTTTATTAGCACTGATCACTGTATTGGCGTCACAAGAGATATCAGTGACAGCCAGTTCCCCCCAGTGTAGGAGTGCCCGCCGCAGTCCCTCAGTCCCGCTATAAGTCGCTGATCACCGCCATTACTAGTATAATTTTTTTTTTAAAAAAACTCCAGTATCTATACCTCCATTTGTAGATGCTATAACTTTCATGTAAACCAATTAATTTACACGTATTGGGATTTTTGTCACTGTGGTGACAATGTACTGCTAAGGTGACAATATGTTAAAAAAAAACAAAAACAAAAAAAATAATAATTTAAAACAAAATAAAATAATGTGAAAAAAAAATTTAAAAATAATTTTTGGTTATAAACTAATTTGGGTTATTTTTTTTTACTAAAAAGATAGCTGAATACAGTTTGGCCAAGATTTATGAAGAAAGATTATTTATTTGCAAAATGTTATAAGAAAAACACTTTTTTTTTTTAATTTTTGGACTTTTTCATTTATATAGCAAAATAATAAAAATTCCAGTGGTGAATAAATACCACCAAAATAAAGTTTTATCTGTCTCAAAAAAATGCTAAAAAATGTATATGGGTACAGTGTTGCATAACTGCACAATTGTTATTCAAAGTGTGATAGCACTGAAAGCTGATAATTGGCCTGGACAGGAGGGGGTGAAAGTGTCCGGACTTGAAGTGGTTAAGGTACGTTAGGCTGCACATTAATATACATTGCAATAAGATAGCCTGTGCATTTAGAACTTACCACCAGTGCATCACAAAATGTAACTGGTCCATTTCTATAATTTAGAGCAGTGTTTCTCAACCTTTTTTCAGTCAAGGCACCCTTTAAAAATTATTGGCAATCCCGAGGCACCCTTTAAAATTATGGACAGTCTTGAGGCACCCCATTCTAAAATAGGGTGCTCAAGACTGGTCATAATTTTAAAAGAGAACCCCATTCTAAAATGTGAAAAACTATTTCTAATAGTAATAGTAAGGCAGGCGTGTCCACCCACTGGCTTGTACAAGTTTTGGGCAATTTTTAGACATTTTGCCGAGGCACCACTGAAGAAACCTCAAGGCACTCCAGGTTGCCTGGGCACCCTGGCTGAGAAAGGCTGATTTAGAGCACCACAAGGCACTGCATGATGTACATTGTGGTGTAATACAGTGTAGGTTTGTTGCCAGATACTGTACTTGTGTATTGGGGTGCAATTCTAAATTAATGTCATCACAACGTAAAGTTTGTTGCTTTACTGCACTTTGTGTCTATACGCAATTTAATGCATATTTTGTTATGCATTACTGCAACAAAAAGGGGTAAAACCAGCCTAAAACTTTACAGAAAATATCAGTTTATGAACCTGCAAAATTAAGAAGTGACTCCACTTTTGTTGAGAAAAACCACTTCTTGAAGATATATGTACATTGCAGGAATTTTAACAAACTGTGTAGCAGATTCCTACCTTTTGTTTCACCATATCCTTTGGATACTGATTGTGAATAGAAGGGTCTGTTGCATTATAGTCACCTATTGCACTCTCAGTGTTCTAATGAGAAAGGATGCAGGGTCTTCATTCAGAAGTATTTAACCCTTGGGGTATATCCCACCAAAACTGAAATTCCTATTGCAAAGGGTGCCTAAAAGTTTACTATCTTAGCTCAGACTTCTGGGGAAATCAGTAAGCCAATCACACAAGCAGGAGCGAGCTGTCAATTCTGGGAGTATTCCATGCACCAATGGTGTACAGCAGGGGTGCCCAACCTGTGGCCTGCGGGTCACATGTGGCCCTCAACCCCAAATCAGGGAAGCACACTTCTATTTTATCCTGGTGAGCTTTCAAAAAGTTATAATAAAAGTCTATAACAAAGTGCAGCTAACAGGAAAGCTTCAGGTACCATGCACTGCATCCGCAGTGCAGGTAAACCGCAGTGTGTGAAAGTGGCCTTATAGGGGGCTCAGGACAGTAAGGGTTCATTTACGTTGATTTTTGGGGGCAGTAAAATCCCATAGTTGAGATGTGATTCAACTCACACACCCCTAACCACTGGTGCAGCGTCACACGGGTGACCCCGCCCTATGCTCCAGGGGGCCCGTTCAGCCTCCCCATCACATTCTGTTTTACACTCAGACAAGAAGGGCTGTGGGTGTGGCATATACATGAACCAAACCTCTCCATGTTCCTTCTGCAATTGTTGAAAGCAGGCTTCTCCTCCTCTCCCTCCCGCCAGCATTCAGCAGCTGCAGGAGGACAATATTCATTACGCTATTTAAAATTAAAAATCCAAACTTCTAAATAATTTAATTTCATTGTGGCCCATGAACAGTTACCAAATCACTTAAGTGGCCCTCGCTGTTCAAAAGGTTGAGCACCCCTGGTGTAGAAATTGGCTCCAGGATGCCAAATTGCATTACATTTTACAACAACAAAAAAACTACAGTGGCTACAGATTGAAAAAGAAAGGTAATTTTTGTAAGTAATAAATTACAATAAGACTTGAGTAGCAATTTTATATGCTGTGTTATTTGTTTTATTTGTTATATTTTTTTCACATAAATATGAAGTTATCCCTTTAAAGATCAAATGAACAAAAAACATATGCGAAAGCAAAAATTAAAGGGCGTTGCACTGTAAATCTGTTATCAGCTTTGGTAGAAGCTGCTCTACTTTATCTGGAATTTTTGGGCCCAATTCCAAAATTCCAGCAGATATGTGTAGACACTCTCAGCTTCATTATCTCTCGTACATACTTGACCATTGGTTTAACGTTTACTTCATGTATGAGTTTGTCTCCATCTGATGACATATTAGTTTCACAGTACAGAGTCCGTATATCTATATTTAAAAATTAAACACCAGATTTGCAAAAAAGGCAAAAAAAGAAAGAAAGAGTTGCTTTATAGTGGACCTTGCACTTCAGCCTAGGTCTGCTTGTTCAACGTGACCTCTGACCTCTCTTCCCCTTCCTAAAACTGTGGGGGCAAAAATACTTGGATATACTTTTTCCACCTTCTGCAGTGCAGGGGATGACAGTATCCATCCAACAAGATCCCAGGGAATGTCAAGGTGCCCAATCTTCGGAAGAAGACATTGCAACACAGTGGAGGATCGTCTTCTTGCAAGATTTGTGCTACCCAACACTTTTCGAGGTCTGGGTGGAAGGAGGAAGACGGCATCCTCACCTAGGTGCAGTGGGAAGACTTTGGGGAAAGGTAGGTATATTATCTAACTTTCCCTGCTCCGTACACAGGTTTGTTTGGGTTTTTTTTTTCCATTCAATTCAAGCATTTTAAAGCAAAACTAAAGATTAGTAAATAGAGGAAGGTATATTCAATTTTCTTGTTTAACCTTTTTTATTGTATTACATTTTCTCAGTTGCTTCCTGGTTTCTGGCCTAGACAAAAATTATGTCATCCATGCCAGGAGTCTTCATGGCCATATTTTTTCCTTTCATCTAGAGGAGGGGAGGAGGGGTTTTCTCAGCTAAGCACACTCTCCTTCCTGAATGTCTAAGCTAAGAGCAGATTGATTCAAGGTAATAATGTTACATGCATCATCTGCCCTTACTCATGATGGAATAGTAATGCTGGGGGGGGGGTTGTTCAAAGTGATTTCTTAACAATAACGTGTGGAGACATGGATGGACAGGTGAGCTTGCTTTGAATATTAAAAATGTAATTACATAGCTTTTTTCAGTTAACAGTTAAGAAGCACACTTAAGAAATGGGGACCTTGAAAAAGTGCACATGGTCACTGAAGTGGAAGGAACACTTTAAAGAGATACTGTTACCTTGCGCATGCCAAGCTACATGACAGTTTCTGCAAAGGGCCTCTCCCAACATTGACCTTGCTTGCACTGCCTTGTCTGTCCTATGCAGTCAGCAATGAAATGACTGGTAGATCCCCAGTCAGCTGACAGCACTCATTTCTAGAAATTAGCTGCCAGACTCAGGAACAGGGGAGCAGGTCCCATGCTCCACCATACTCACAAGTGCCAGGTATTCTAACCTACTGCAAAGAAGGAAGGTGAGGCAAGAGGTGCTGGCAAGGTGAGTAGAAGTGGGTCGGGAGGACCCTTGCAAAGACAATGTCATTTTGCTCTGCATGGGCAAGGTGACAGGATCTTAAGTTGTAAGATTTTCAAACTTCTTTCAGATTCCTACTTTTGTTTTAAAGTATCCCTGACAATGCCAAAAACATGGCAGCTGGCATTACTGAAATTTGCAGTTGCCTGGCTACATCTGGAGAGAGTTCCTTTGAGTCAGAGACCTAGAAGAATCATGACACAAATTAAATTCGGAATTCCTGTTCTCTTTTTTGTTTCGTGTCTCCAGAAGATTTGATAACTCAAACAGCAACCATGGAGGTAGCCAACAGACATTTTCGGAATGTGGTCAGCAATGGCAGCCCCTGTGATGTTAAAGATATTGGTCTTAGGGCTTGGCCTCGTGGCTGCTGAAATTTATCAAAATAGGTGCCAATTGAAAGGTCCTGCATTTATTATAAATAACTATTCCAAGCCGCTGTTGTAGAAAACTTGCATCCTGGTTATCCTCAGATGTTAGCATACCCTGCACAAAGTTCTTCCCTTATCCCAGAAAACTTAGTCTAAGGGCTAATCCTCAAAGTAAAACAAAAGAGCCTAAGTGGTATATATATATATATATATATATATATATAAATTTTATATTTTTTTTTTTTTCAGTGCATGCTAAGTAATGTGTAAGAATAATACATCCAAGTATTTAAACCTTTCATAGAGATCACAGTACCCCCCGACAATGGCTTCATCTGCTTCTAGAAGGAGCCACCTTCGTTCAGGCATCATCCAGGGTCACCATCTACTTCCTGGGCTGAGATACCACAATTATGTTAATCTTCGTGCCTGTGTGGTTTATGGATTGCATTAACAAATTAACACAGCCTCTCATCTTGCAAACTGCAATAGAGTTTCAAGGTTGACGTCTGATCATTGGTGCTATTGCCTACCTGCAGAAGACTGATGACATCATTTCAGCTTTCGTAAAGTCACTGACTGGAGTTAATGGTGTCTCATACCTTACCTCTTGGCTCCCGCTTCTTGTGTGCAGACCAGGGTGACATCACTATCCTTAGGCAAGATATTAGGGAATACCAAGTGGCCCAGATCTCATGAGAAAATGCTCCTGCACTGTGCTGGCCAGGATCTCACTAGAGGGATGGTGACATCACTTCCTGAGGTGCAGCTGTTCTGCAACATTTGGTATGGGAGCTAGGGGGTAAGGTGTGGGGTGGAGGTGTGAATTAATAAGCATATCTTTGTAGCACAAGGTACTTTTTTAAAGTTTACCAAAAGCCAAAAGTTTTCATCCCAATTTGGATAGAGAAAACAACTATTAAAACCCTATCAGGATTTTTCTTTGCTGTCTGTTCCAGTGAGAAATTTCAATTCTTTCTGTGCTCAGTAATTAATGGGAAAATCTCCCCAAACGTTGTCACCCAGAACAATTATCCTCCATTAGAAGGTTTTACCAAATTAAAAAAGAAAAAAGCGCCACTTACAAAAAACACCAAAGTGTCAGCAGCATATCCCACCCAAAATAAATTTTGGCAACAATAATCCAAATTAAAAGGTATGCGCTAATAACAAACTTATACAAAAGTGTATATCATCATCCAAAAAACATTAGTGTTTTAAATAAATTATAGTGTCCAAACATAAATTAGTGTCCAAAAAAATATATATATATCTTCAGTGACTTGAACCAATTGTGAGAAATCCACCACCAAAGGAGATTAAATTAACTCACCAGAGCTAATGGCTGGTCAGATTATAAACCAGGAACAGCGCTTGTGCTCTGGGAGCAATGAACCCGATGTCCAAATAGATATGGTGATGTTTCAGATACTTCCAGATAATAATAATCACAGCCAAACAACTTTGCAGCCCAAGCTCTTATGATGAACTTCTCCACTCTTTCTCATACCTCCATGAGAGCATACAGTACACTCAGGGAGAAAAAGAGAACATAATGGTGCAATACGTTTTTTTCATTTATCTCTTTAATAAAAAAGGTATAAGGAAACTCACAAACAAGGTGTCCAACAGACACCAGCTTCAATCGCAAAAAAGGGTTGAGATACAGTTAATGCTCACCGCAGATCTCTCCCATACAGCACAGAACAGCAAGGCTCTCTAACGTCCACATCGAATAGGCTACGCCCAACCGGTTTTTCGTCACACCGACGTCATCAAGGGGCGGGTTCATTGCTCCCAGAGCACAAGCGCTGTTGCTGGTTTATTATCTGACCAGCCATTAGCTCTGGTGAGTTCATTTAATCTCCTTTGGTGGTGGATTTCTCACAATTGGTTCAAGTCACTGAAGATATATATATATTTTTTTGGACACTAATTTATGTTTGGACACTATAATTTATTTAAAACACTAATGTTTTTTGGATGATGATATACACTTTTGTATAAGTTTGTTATTAGCGCATACCTTTTAATTTGGATCATTAGAAGGTTTTGCCTCATTTTCCATTCTAGTAATAGCTAAAAAAGATTTGGATGTTGCATCACTTTCTGCCCTGCGGCAATGGTCACCAGGATAAATAATGGGATGAATATTCCCTAATGGCAATAAATACCTGACAGGAGGTTCTAATCACTCACCAATTCATCCAAAAATATTTTGAATTAAAGCTGAACTTAGAGGGAAAATAAATAAATACATATATATATATATTTTTTTTTCCCAGTGGATCTACTCCTGCAATGCAAGGGTTAAATGCATAATTTTTGTCTGGTGTGACATAGAAAAAGTTATACTTACCTTATCCATGCTCCCACATGCCTCATCCCAGCTCTAAGACTGGTTCCACAAAGCCACTTTTCTCGTGGTTGCACTCTGGCATCATCACTTGCAATGCAAAACCATCAGCCCTGCATTGTAAGTGAGGACCCAGAGGGCCACAACCCAGCTTGTCTGAGAGAGGTGTGCTGGCTGCCAGAATATGGGGGATAAAGGTAAGAAAAGCAGTTGTTTAGGTTTCTCTTAGACCAAAAAGAGCATTTAACCCTTGCAGTGAGGAGGAAGCTCCACGGAAAGAGTATATTTTGAATCTTACCCCAGCTCGGTTTTAGGACATGTTTTAAAGCATACCTTGCAGTAAAAAAATTCAAGCTAGATGTAACAGACATAGCAGTTGCAAAACACAGAACTGCCTAATCTACTTACAGGCCTTAAACTTGTGTATGTAGAAGCTAAGTACATTTGATAGAGTTAAAAGCAATGATCACAGTTGGATTAAATTCATTGAATCCTACCTCCCACTTGGTCTCCTCAATTTTTGGGAGAAACTCCGACTGCTCTTTCTTGAAAGCCATACATTTTTTCTCCAGTTCCTCCCGTTCTTGAAGCAGCTGTGCAACATCATCTTGAAGCTTTTTCTTCTCTTGCTGCAGCTTGAAGATTTGCAGTTGCAATGCCTGCTGGGCCCTCTGTGCTTTCTTAGACACTTGCTGAAGTTTGTTGGCATAGTTCTGTCGCAGGTCCTCCATTTCACGTTCCCAGATCTTCTGCTTCTCTTCGAAGACCTGGAAAATGGCAGCCTCACTTTTGTCTAAGTTCCTTTTCATTTGTATCACCTCCTGTTCCTTTTCCCACAGTCGGTCTTCCAAGTCTTGTATGATGTCATCACTGGAGGGTGAGTGGAAAGGCAAGGCTTCATTGAGATGGTTCAGCCGGCTGAAAGAAGAGGTGCTCTTACTGGAAGATCGTCCACTATCTGAGGTAGATATTCCATTATATCCTACTATATTTTTCTCTACATAGGTGGTCCCAATGCGGTTTATATGGCTTGTCGACGCACTCATTGGGCCAACGTGCTGGCTGTAACCAGTCCCATAGGTGGGTAAACTGGTCAGTGAATTGCGACCAGAATCTGACAGACCTCCCACCTGATTCGAAGACCTGTTGTGACTGGACTTCTCTAAACTGCTCTTCAGGACTGCTGAACTGTTGCTGTTTCCATGGCCAGAGCTTTTTCGATTCTCAATGACGCTGTTATTCAAAGGTGGGCAGAGGTTTTGCATGGAATGGAAATTCTTGGGAACCACCGGTTTAAAGGCAGACGGTCGAAGCAAAGGCTCATTATTCTGTGAAAATTGAGAGCACAGGAACAATTAGAAAAAGTTTAAATTAGATGCATTTTTGTAACAAGCTGTAAATGAGCTCTTAGGCCAGAATAAAATCTGTGTAGTGTGTTAATACGCACATTTTACCATGCATGAGGGCAGTCTATTAATTTTGATGGATCTAAACATGGCCCAAACTGCACTTGACCATTTTTTAGAATGCAGTTCACAGCAGTGTGCTACTGTGCATTGTAGCATATTGCAACCTAGATGCCCTGTCTTATTGCATTGGGGTGCCATTCAAAATTATGTGTGGCACTGCTCATTACCACACTGCAAACATGTGGCCCCAGCCTTAAAAAAAGCCAGGCTGCACACTCTATAAAGCAAGTCATCCTCAAATGTCATAGTAAAGGCATTCTAATCTGGCTGTAACGGGATTCTTAAGGCTCAAGGGCAGTTTGAGCATACAAAATGGGTGTTGTGGGTGCCCACGAGGAACAGATATAGCATATAGCTCACTGCCAGTAGCCTGTCAACCAATGAAAAAACACAACAGCTGTACACAGCTGGTTGCTATTCTGAGCGATACTCACATTTGGGCAGTATGCATTTACGACATATGTTCCTGAATGCATACTGCCCTAAACACGTCTCAGAACAGTGCACAACTGCGTATTTGAGCTCGTCATGACAGCCTTCCGGCATTCTGATGGAAACACAGAGCAAGTACACTGAGTTTAAATTGGAAGACTGGAAGGATGCCAAGTCATTGCTGATAGAAAGAAATCAGCCTCTGACTAGAGCGCTTTTCTTACGAATTTGCAAATGAATTAATCCACAGTGCCAGCAATGACAGAGTTGAATGCGGGCTTCTCTTATTCAAGTACTGCTTGCAAAGGATATGTAAATACCTCAACGTCCATAGCCAAAGGGGATCTTTAAGAATAACTCTTACCAAATAAAACTTTAAAATAAAAGTCAGTTAACCTTCTACATATTGCTTTAAGTGTAGACACATGCCAAATTAAACTAAATTAAAGTGAACCTATGCTGTAACAATTCCTCTAGGCTGCCTGTTCTAATAAAATTTATATATATATATATATATATATATATATATATATAATATATACAGGTGAAACTCGAAAAATTAGAATATCCTGCAAAAGTTCATTTATTTCAGTAATGCAACTTAAAAGGTGAAACTAATATATGAGATAGACTAATTACATGCAAAGCAAGATAGTTCAAGCCGTGATTTGTCATCATTGTGATGACAACCCCAAATCCACAATCTCAGAAAATTTGAATATTACATGCAATCAATAAAACAAGGATTGTACATAGAACAATATCGGACCTCTGAAAAGTATAAGCATGCATATGTACTCAGTACTTGGTTTGGGCCCTTTTGCAGCAATTACTGCCTCGATATGTCGTGGCATGGAAGCTATCAGCCTGTGGCACTGCTGAGGTGTTACGGAAGACCAGGATGCTTCAATAGCGGTCTTCAGCTCTTCTGCATTGTTCGGTCTCATGTCTCATCTTTCTCTTGGCAATGCCCCATAGATTCTCTATGGGGTTCAGGTCAGGCGAGTTTGCTGGCCAATCAAGCACAGTAATCCCACGGTCATTGAACCAGGTTTTGGTGCTTTTGGCAGTGTGGGCAGGTGCCAAGTCCTGCTGGAAAATGAATTCAGCATCCCCATAAAGCTCGTCTACGGAAGGAAGCATGAAGTGCTCCAAAATCTCCTGGTAGATGGCTGCGTTGAGCCTGGACTTAATGAAGCACAGTGGACCAACACCAGCAGATGACATGTAGCAGACCAGGTCTCTTTTTCTTTAGCCCAGGTAAGACGCATCTGACGTTGTTTGTTGTTCAGGAGTGGCTTGACAAGAGGAATACGACATTTGAAGCCCATGTCCAGGATCCGTCTGTGTGTGGTGGCTCTTGATGCACTGACTCCAGCCTCAGTCCACTCCTTGTGAAAGTCCCCAACACTTTTGAATGGCCTTTTTATGACAATCCTCTCCAGGCTGCGGTCATCCCTGCTGCTTGTGCACCTTTTTCTTCCACACTCTTCCCTTCCACATAACTTTCTATTAATGTGCTTTGATACAGGACTTTGGGAACATCCAACTTCTTTTGCAATTACCTTTTTATATTCAAATAATTTTTATTGAAATTTAAACATACATAAGTAATATTAGATAGTCGAACATTTTGGTTCACATCGAGAATAACATTATATGAAAAATAATGACAAAAGATAAGCGAAGAATCCCCACCAAGTGGCCGGGGAACTTGTATTCCTGTAGTTTAGTTACATGAGAGGTATGCTCTGTATGTTGTGAACCATTCTAGAAGACTAGTGGGGCATAATAGTGGGGAGAACATGAGGGTAGTGGAAGAACAGGGGAGGAAGTGGGGGGAAGGGAGGGTAAGCACCAATTCAGTATGGGTAGAGAATAATGTATTCCTTTTGAATAGTAATCATTTAATTGAGCAACTGGGATTATTTAACCATCGTGACCAATGGGTTTTAAATTTATGGTAGGAGGAATTATAGAGGTTCTTCTTTCCATCTCGCATTGGAAATTGAGATCGGAAATGAGGCGGGATAATAAAGGGGTTGTAGTGGATCTCCATAGTTTGGTGATGTTAAGTTTTGCAGCTGCTAGAATGTGGATGATAATAGTGCGTACCTTTACAGGGAATTTGTCTATTCCGATGTGGAGGAGAGCTAGGGCTGGATTTGGAGTAATTGGAGTTCCTGTGAGTGATGAGATGATCTGGAAAACCTTGTTCCAATAAGATTTAAGAGATTTACAGTCCCAAAGTATGTGAAGGAGAGATCCCTTTTCTCCACAATGTCTCCAGCAGAGTTGTGAATGTTGAGGGTAAAATTGGGATAATTTAGTTGGTGTCAGATACCAATGGTGTAGGATTTTCAGATAATTTTCCCAATGGGAGCTACATTTAGAAGCTTTAAATGTGATATTGAATGTCTTTTCCCAAGTGTTTAGAGCGATTGGTTGGGAGAGATTCTTTTCCCAATTGAGTAAGGAAGAGTTGTTTGTAGTGAACTGTATTTCAGTTATGAGTCAATAGAAAGTCGAAATTCCTTTCTTGGGGTATTGTGTCTTTTGGAAGAAGTGTTGTGCAGTTGCCGGAATTTCTATCTCAAGTGGTATTTGTGTTTTGTGAAGAGAGTGGACTATTCGTAAATAAGTATATTGTTCTTTGTTTGGAAGACGAAATTTCTTTTGGAGGATGGAGAATGAGTCTAGTTTGTGTTTTGTGTAGAGATCTTGGATGTGGGTGATACCAAGACTGCTCCATGTTGATATGTTTAAGTGGGGAGTGAGGGAGTGTAGGGTTGAAAAGGGGGTGGGAATTTTCACATTGCTCTTGTTTGCTTGATTGAGGGCTGAAAAGTCAAACCAAGCATTTAAAGAAGCCTGGATGCATGGGTATGTTTGCAGATTTTTAGGTAGGGCTGTCCTGGGTATGTATAGTATGTCTGTTATCGTGTGTGGTGAGCATAATGAGTTTTCTAGTTTGGTCCAGATCTTCTCGTCGGTTGGGTGCCACCAGAAGAAGAGTTGGTCTAAGAGGACTGCTTGGTAATATGATTTTAGGTGGGGGAGACCTGTCCCACCTCTGGAGGGTGGGCGTAATAATAAGTTCGTGGAACATCTGGGTCTTTTAGAGTTCCATAAAAATTTATTTAGCGTAGCTTGAATTTTTGAGAAGAAGGTATGAGGAACTGGTATAGAGAGCGTCCGAAAAATATATAGTATTTTAGGTAATATACACATTTTTAAAGTTGCTACTCTACCTAAAGTTGATAGTGTGGTTGTGCGTAGAATTTTTATTTCTTGGGGGATGGTTTCCAATAATGGTTTGTAATTAGTTGCGTAAAGTTGGCCAGTGGTTGCGGTAAGTTTTATCCCTAGGTAGGGTATGCTATGTGATTCCCAGGTAAAGGGGAAATGTTTGGAAATTAGATTTTTAGTATCAATAGGTGTATGTAGGTTGAGTATAGATGATTTGGGTTCATTGAGTTTGTAATACGAAACATCTGCATAACTACGGATATGTGTACGTATCGAATGGAGTGACTTATAGGGGTTTGTAATCATAAGAATAATATCGTCTGCGAAGAGACTAAGTTTGTGCTCATGTTGATACATGTTAATTCCCGTAAAGTTAGATTCATTTCTAAGATTAGTTGCTAATGGCTCGATAAGTAGGGCAAAAATTATGGGGGATAGGGGGCATCCTTGTCTGGTACCATTCGTTATATAGAAAGGTTGTGAAAGTGTGCCATTGGTCAGTACTCTGGCGGTGGGCATGGAGTAGAGGGATAGTATCGCTGAAAGCATCCAGTCAGTTATTCCAAATTTTTGTAATGTAAGGTTCATAAATTGCCAATGGATTCGGTCGAATGCTTTTTCCGCATCTAATGACAGGAGAAGGGAGGGTTGTTTTTTGTTCTCAAGGTGGTGCAGTATGGATATAATTCGTCTTGTAGCATCTGGGGCCTGTCTACCGGGTATAAATCCCACTTGATCTGGGTGGACTAATGTAGGTAGATATGGGAGTAGTCTTAGGGCGATTATTTTAGCATATATTTTTATGTCTGTATTGAGTAATGAAATCGGTCTATAGTTTTGTACTAATTGGGGATCTTTGCCAGTTTTTGGGATGGTGGTGATTATGGACTGTAGCATGTCCTGGGGAAATTCCCCAGAAGTGGCGACATGATTATATAAGGTCGCTAGGTGGGAAGTAAGATTGGGTGCTAGTGATTTGTAATATTCGTTAATAAAGCCATCGTTTCCTGGTGATTTGTTTAAGGGGAGAGTATTTATAGTTTTTTGGATCTCTAAGGGTGTTATCGGCGTAGAGAGAGATTCTAGTTGATGAGGAGTGATACAAGAAAGATTTG